AACTCATCTGAATCTTGTCTGATCAAAGCTAGCTGTAGTTGTCTAGTAGAACTGTCCGGTTTGGGAAGGGACAGTGACCGTTTAGGAGGCTGACAGACAGTAGCCACTCTGAACGACTTGACCTGAGACGATACTCACGTAGCGAGTACGCAGACCGACACACCTGCAAACACCACAGCTTGCCCTTCTTATCTGTGAGGACGTCCACGACTATCCACTCTAACTTTAGCATGAAGTAGTTCTCGGAAAATTTGAGCATTCTCTCAGCCACTTCGGCTGCATCCTCGAGGGCCTTCCCACTGCTTCGTTTGGCTACAACGAGGCCACCAGGGACGGACGTGTCGGTAGATGCGCAGTATTGTTGTGTCAAGTCACCGTGAGCCTTGCCACTCGTTGCCTCGAGTTCAGAGGGGCAGTAGCCGTTCGCGATGGAGTAGCCCACAGGCTTCCTCGGATATTTGCATCGATAGCAGACTCTCGTTATGCATGCCTGCTCTCCTGGGCCTTTGATGAACTTCTGTAGAATTTGGGTGGACTGACCACCCCCGGCTTCCTGTAGCCTCACAAGGGCATTTGTGACGGTTAGTGCCGTAGTAGAAGTACGTTTGAGATGGCTGTTCGCACCATAGGAACGCTGCTTGAAAACGAACGCGGGAATGTTTCCATCGGACGCTTCCTCAAGCTTGGAGATTCGGAGTGCTTCTTCTTCTCGATCGAAATCGTATCTGGCCAGATCCGTCCTCGAGAGGAATCTCTCATACTGCGCGCTCACTTCACAGTGATTCCCTTCTTCCTGGAGGTGACGCTGTTGAACAAGTACGTGTCCAGTCCACAGAAGCACCAGGTTTTGGGCCACCGAACGCGCAGATTGGCGAGCATCATTTGCATGCGTTCGAAGCTTCTGAACTGGACGAGAGATCCCAGATAGTCCACACCAGGGCTCATCGGGAAGGAGTCGTAGTAGTCGGCAGAGGCCGCAGGAGGCGCGAAGTGGATCTTCTCGAGGAACTTTACATCTTTGCCCTTCACCGACGATGGCCCCTCCCGCTTGAGCAGAGCGAGAATGCTTGGGGCCGCTTTCTTAGTGGGCTGGAAAGATTCGGGCAGATCTGTGAGGAAGGTTACCCCATGGGTCGGCGATGCATTGTCCTCAGTGACAGGGGGCATCAATACACAACGCTG